CTCCTACCCTGGGGGTTTTTAAGAGGAGGTTAGATCAACACCTTGCTGGGGTGGTTTTACCCCAGTACTCTTTCCTGCCATGGCAGGGGGTCGGACTAGATGATCTGTTCAGGTCCCTTCCGACCCTAGAAACTATGAAACCCCTCCCCCAAGCAAGGAAGAGAAGCTGCAGGAAACGAGCAAGGGCTGCGGGCTTTAATAAGGATTCGGGGTTATGTAACAGGGGGCCTGCTCTGGGCCAATCTCACTTTGGCCCGCCCACCTGTTTCTGGGCTAACCGCCCACCTTCTCGCCTGCCATGCCTTGTTGAAATTAATTAGTTAATGATGTAATTAAGCAGGAGGCTGCCCATTTCCCACCCCGATGCCAGGGAGTGCTATCTGTGGCTCTGTACCTCCCCTACACCGCAGCCCAAGCCTTGCAGATGTTATTTGTAAATTCCTCTTTATGTTGGGGCTAGGCCACTGTGAGTCTACCCCTTTTTTCTCTCTCTAGCTAGGCCTGTCAGTCAAAAAATCCAAAAACCCACTAATCAGGGTTTGATTCCCAGGCTCTAGCTCTCAAAAAAACCCCTCACTCCGGACTTTCCAGGACTGTTGGTTGGGCAAGGGCAGTTCCCCTTTTTATTTTCGTCTTTGCATTTCAGCGAACAGCAGCAAAGGTTACAGGTTACTATTAAAGTCCACTTGATACCACATTGGACGAGGGGCCGTGTCAATCCGTGGGGGTCTCTGGGAAAAGGAATCCGGGGGCAACAGGGACGTGCTGGGTTCCTGTCTGAAACCTCTGGGTTGCTCTTGTGAACCATGGAGACGTTTACACACTTTGCACTGCTCGTGTTGTGTGGCACCGCAGCTGAGTATTGTTGCCCGAGGGTTGCCTGAGGCTGAGCTTGGGCTGCAGCTCTGCTTCCCGTCCTCGGTGCTGGTGGCGATGCTACGTTCCTCCGGCCACATCAACTGATACGGGAGGCCGATTCAATCTGAATTACACCCAGTAGCGCAGTTGGGGGGTTAACCAGTTGGGTAGGCGTGCCGCAAAGTAGCCCTGCACCCTTCCCATGTGCCACTCTCATCCCTTCCCCCCCACCAGATCTGCTGCTCTGCTTTCTGCTCCCTGCCCTATCTCTCTCGCACATTGCCTGTACCAGTTGTGGCATACATGGGCTAGACTGGCCGGCCCTGGACTCGTGTGGACAGAGGGGAGATCCATCAGGGAATGGTTTCAGTGGCAACCCCACTAATGCTCCTATGATGACCGCAGGGATGGATGGACCACAGTCATGCAAGAGTTTCCCTGTTCCTTGCTCTGCTGAGAGTTATCTCAAGGGCTTGACAGGCAACCTGTACAACCTGAAATGCAGAAGCCTGGGGGTGGGGGCTGAAATGTGCCTTTACTATGGGGACAGACAGACAGCAGCAAGGAGTCCTGCGTGCTCTCTGCTGTACATGGCCACCCTGTTCCAATAAACCAGTCTATGGATCGGAGGAAATTGCTTTAGCTCATCTTGCTCTTCTCCAGACACAATAGCCAATGGCCTTCAACAACCTGGGTGTAACAGGGACAAGGCAGGAAAAGCTGTGGCCACGAGGACCCCACTGAGCCAAATTGGGTGCCAGAGAGGCTAGAAAGTGAATGCATCTGCTTCTAGGACAGCAAAGCCACAAAGCATTGGCCCTGATTTATTCAGCATCTAAATTACACTTGATCACAGCTTAGTACATTTGCCATTTCACAGTGGGGGACAGAAGCGCCGGCAGGGAAGAAGGGCTGGGAGCAGACAGGACACAAACTGGGCCCTGGCTCCTCCGGAAATGCCCAGCAAGCAGAGTAGGAGCACCGGGCACTCCCCAGCCTCCCATCACCCGCTCTCGCAGCACAGCCCTTTTGTAGACAAGTCTCCGCCGGAGCTAGACCAGGCCGTCACCGTCTCTCTCCCATGCTGCAGCTCCCAGGCTCCTGCCCGCAAGGCTGTGCCCCTGCAGAGCTTCGAGGCAAGCGCACAGGATCTGATCTGGCCCAGGAGAGGCTGTCCCCACCACCCCCGGCCTCCTGGTCTCCTTGTAGTGCAAGTCCCGTGTTGGCAAAGTGTATCCTAAGCTGGCCCCGGGGAAGAGGAGCACCGCCACCCTTAAATCACTGAATTCTCACCCCATGATGCCTCTCCTGCCACCCTCCCAGATGCCCTGATCGGTTTGTCTCATCCTCTGCCCCCGCAGAGAACGCCCTGAGTGTAAGAGGTGGCGGCCAAGGCCCCGCTGGCCCCGGGACCGGTCACTTCCTGGCAACGGCGTAGTTGGTGGTGAACCAGTTGCAGGTTTCCTTCACTGCTGCAAGGGAAGGGAAGGGAGGGGAAAGGTTGTCAGAGGGACCGTGCCACCCAGCCCACAGCAAAGCCCTTGAGCCAGTGCTGCAGCAACACCAGGCGCTCGGCGCTGCACGGGGACCCGGAGCAGGGTGGTTAACTGCAGCCACGGGGCACGGGTGATCTCCAGGGATGGGGATGGACACAAGGACACGGAGCGATTGCGGGGTCTCCTCCCCGCTGGCCCCTCCAAGCCCACCTGCACACCCCATGGCACCGCTGCCCTACCCGGGTGTGCTGCCCGCTGCGGGGGCTGCATCAGGGGCTGGGGTCCAGCCCCCACTAGAGAGACAAAAGCTTCCCCAGAGCCTCCATGGGCGGAGGTGGGATCGGATACACCCACGACTGCTGCTGGGGAGGAGCAGCGCCGCAGGGGCTCCCTTTGCCCACCGCGGCCAGTCCTCACCTTGCCGGAAGGGCGTGAAGCGGAAGCCAGGCAGGTATCGCCTCAGCTTGCTGTTGCTGGCTGTTTTCTTGAACTGCCCGTCCGACTTCGTCTCATCGAACTGGACGTGGCAGAGGTTAAAGGCAAACACACAGGAGAGCGGGGCCCCGGGGCCAGGGCAGGAGAGCGACGGGGCAAAGGTCCGCGTGTCCCATTGCAGGGGTGTCACAGCAGCTCAGGGCATGACTGGAGTTTGCAGCCAGTTGCTCCCAAAGACCAGCATCCTGGGCTGCATTAGTTGGCCTATTTGTTCCCTTCGGACGTGGGCTTAGCCCACCAGCTCATGTAGCCTTCCCGTCTGGTCTGAGGGAGGGGGCAACAGATTTTGGGGGGCTGCGTTAGTAGAAGCAGCAGATGGAGGGCAGTGATCCTTCCCCTCTATTTGGCACCGGGGAGGCCACATCTGGAGTCCTGTGTCCAGCTGTGGCCCCCACTACAGCAAGGACGTGGACACGTTGGAGAGAGTCCCGCAAAGGGCAGTGGAAATGGTTGTGGGGCTGGGAGACAGGACTGGTGAGGAGAGGCAGAGGGGACTGGGCTGATTTAGTCTGGAGAAGAGAAGACCGAGGGGGATTGAATAGCAGCCTTCACCTCCCTGCAGGGGGGCTGCAAAGAGGAGGGAGCTGGACTGTTCTCAGGGGGGGAAGGTGACAGGACAAGGAGCAATGGGCTCAGGCTGCAGCACAGAAAGTTGAGGTTGGATATTAGGAAATAATTTCTCACTAAACACTGGACCAGGCTACCCAGAAAGGGGGTACAATCTCCATCCTTGGAGGTTTTGAAGACCCAGGTGGACAAATCCTTGGCTGGGATGATGTAGCTGGGGCTGGTCCTGCTTGGAGCAGGGGTTGGACTAGATGTGACCCCCTGAGCAACCTTCACACTCGTTTTCTACGATGCTATGGCAGCTGGGCTGTTAACCAGTTGCTGGGTCCCCATCTGCGCAGGGCAGGGTGAGAGGCCATGGGGGAGCCCCTCATCTGGGAGGGGGGTGCAAGAGGCTAAGAAGAGCCCTAGCATCTCATGCCTGCAGCAGCCCCCAGTGGAGCATGGGGCTAAGACCGATGGAGGGAGGTCTCCAGGCCTGCACAGCACGGGAGGGCAGCCCCAGTGTCTGCAGGGTGTGCTGGGACCTGATCCGTAGGGGTTAGGCTCTCCCAGTCCTTTCCTTCCCCCCCGGGGCGAGGCACAGAGCTGCGGTTTGGATCCCGAGCCACACAAAAGGATACAACCAGCCCCCCCGTGAAGTCCATGGCTTCCACGATGGCTTCAGCAGCTTCCCGGATGGAGACCTCGTCCTCTTCCCCCACTGGACAGACAGCGGCATGAGGCTCATGCGGCTCTCCCACCCTTGCCCCATCCCCACCGATCCCATGGCCCCCCCGCACGTGGTGGCCTAGAGCCCCGTGGAGATACGGGGGTGCAGGCTCCCACCCCACCACTGTGGCTTGAGTCATCTTGCAGCGGTTGCTGCCAAGAGACCCCTTGGGCACCCGCTGCTACTGGCAGCAAGGGGGTGGGAAGAACCAGGGACCTTACCCGAGAGGATGATGGGCTCCACCTCGTCGTATTCCCGGAGCACCCAGAGGAAGAGCCGGGCCAGGTCCTGCATGCACAAAGGGGCTCGGCTCAGGCTCTCGGCCCACAAATGCCCCTGGCAGGGGGCAGAGGCCCGGCCAGGGTCCCTAGCCGCTGGGTAGCTGCAAAGGGCTGGACGGCTCTTATCAGGGCACACTGACCCTTCCCTCTGGACCTGGGAGCTGGAGCCTGGGTTGGGGACCTGCCTGCAGAGACCGGGGTTTCTGGCCTGCCCCTGGCACCAGCCCCCTCCACATCCCGTCAATCTCCCAAACACGACGCTTGGGGGTCCGAGATGTGTGCCAGGACCCCACCCCCCACCCCAGCCAGGCCTGGCTCCGCAAAGCAGACACGTACCAGCGAGTAGATGAACTGTCTCCGGGGCTTCCCTGTGCCCCACACGGTGAGGGCGGTGCCTGTTTCTGCAGGACGGTCAAGAGAGCGGTGGTCAGCAAGTGCTTCCCCCATGCCCTCTGGTCCCAGACCCACCCCAGCTAAAGGGATCCCCTGCCACCCCACGGGTTGACCACATCCAAGATCTACCTTAGCGCATTGCTAGACCACCCCCATCCTGTACCCAGCGGTGCTGTGCTGTTCTCCGACAGGCCGCTGTCCTCCCCCCAAGAGGCAGCTGCATTTCCGCAGCGATGCACGGGGATTTGCACTGGCAGAAAAGCACCTTGCCCTCAGCAGCTGTTCCAAGCCTGGGGCCTCTAATGCTAAATACATGCCCAGCGCCATCATGAGAGGCCACCACGTGCAGGCTGACAGTTTCTCCTCCAGGAACCCACAGCGCCCCAAACCGGGAGCTTCGGAGGTCCACGCTCAGCGCTTGTCCACTGGTTCTCATGGCTGCAAACAGGGCAGCGTCCTCTGAAAGGACGGCCAGGCATGCCCTGGGCTGCACCAGCAAAGCACAGGCACTTTCGGCAGCAAGCGCCCTTGGTACGCAGTTCCCAGGGGCAGCAGGGTGCTCGCTGGGCAAGCCAAGAGGATGGACCAAAGCCAGACCCAAAGGGCCCTGGAGCGGTGCACCTGCAGACGGGCTGCAATCGGACAGCACAGTGTCACCTCCATGGTGCAACAGTGGCCTGGGCCAGACTGGGGTTTGCAGGGCGTGCACCTTGCAGCCACCTGCTTCACAGGCTCTTTGCTACCTCCAGCCAGCAAGGGGGAGGAAGCAAAGCTCTGCAGCCACAGAAACCGATCCAGCCCCGGGGTGGAACGAGGCAGCTGCCCAAGGACCCACAACACCGTGGTCTGGAAGCTCAGGGCTGCTTCGCCGGAGTAGAAGAGTTCCCCTGACTCGTCGCCCCTGCTCCAGCCCCGCCACTTACTCTTGGCCATGTAGACCTTGTGGATGAGGCCGGGCAGCACGTGGCCGTCCTCGAGGTTGAAGTTGTCGTGAGGCCCGAAGACATTGGTAGGGATGACGGCGGTGAACCGGCAGCCGTGCTGCTCAAAGTACCCCCTGGGGAAGAGAGTGGGGGGCAGGGGTCACCACCCCACAGGACGCACCACAGCCTGGGGGCTGCTGCTGCATCCATGCACTGGAGCTTGCCTGGCTCTTCCAGCCAGGCTCGGCGGAGCGGGCTGGGGCCGACCAGGGGCAGCTGCGGGTCCCTGCAGGGCACAGCAAGGCCCTACCTGTTCTGGACGTCGATCATCCTCTTGGCGTAGGAGTAGCCGAAGTTGGAGGTGTGCGGGGGCCCGTTGTGGATCTGGGAAACAGAGGAGGCAGCTGGGAAAGCATCGCCCGCCTGGCAGAAACGGGGCTGAGAGCTGAGCCCAAGGGGACAGGAGCCCCTAGAGAGCCTGAATGCAGGAGCTCGGTGGGACAGGAGGAATCATCCTGCCTGCAGCTCCTTCGCTCCAGGCATCAAACGACCCAGCCCGGTGCTTGTCCAGTCTCCTCTTAGAGACCCGCAAGGTAGGGGAGAGACCGCCGCCCTTGGGAGCCCAGTCCAGATTTTGGCAACCCTAAGCATGATGTTCTTCCTGATGTCTAATCTAAATCTGCTCTCCAGACAGGTCTTCAACACCTCCAAGGATGGAGTCCACCACCTCTCCAGGTCACCCATTCCAGTGCTTCACCACCCTCCTGGGGAGAGAGTTTTTCCTAATATCCAACCTCAACTTCCCCTGCTGCAACTTTAGCCCACTGCTCCTTGTCCTGTCATCTCACCCACTGAGACCAGCCCAGCTCCATCCTCTTTGCAGCCCCCCTGCAGGGAGGTGAAGGCTGCTGTTCAGTCCCCCTCGGTCTTCTCTTCTGCAGACTCAATTAGCCCATTTCCCTCAGCCTCTCCTCACCAGTCGTGTCCCCCAGCCCCACAACCATTTTCATTGCCCTCCGCTGGACTCTCTCCAACTTGTCCACATCCTTTCTGCAGTGGGGGCCACAGCTGGACACAGGAACCCAGATGTAGCCTGACGGCCTGCTCTGAAAACCCAGGGTTCCCAGAAATGGCTCTCATCACCAGGCTGTCACTGCTCCCCGGGGAGCTCACGGACCACATGGACCCCACTGGTGCCCCAAGGCACAACTCTGTCCTTCCCACGATCCCAGGGGGAAAGGAATCATACAATCATAGAAAATTGGGGCTGGAAGGGACCATAACAAAAGCCTCACTAAAAATCAAGCTATTCCACATCCACTGGTACAGAAGGGTCGAGCTGAGGAGCTGAAGTGCCCTGTTGCAGCATCCAACCCATACAGCTGGCGTCCTTACACCCAGCTCCCCCCCGGCAGCAGGGACGGTCCCTCTGCCAGTGCTCCCTGCTTGTCCGCAGCCTCAAGGCAGGCAACGGGTACGGTGAGCATGGAGCAAGCGGTGCCGGCAGGGCCTTACCATGGTCTCGTCAATGGGGTAGCTGGTCTTGTCGGGAAAGATGCAGGTGGAGAGGCAAGAGACCACTTTCTGGGCCCCGAGCTCGTACGCTGAGTGCAGCACGTTGTCGTTGATGTGGACGTTCCTCCTCTGGGAAGACAAGCCTGGTCAAGGACCAGGAGAGAGGCGGTACCCAGCTCCTGGGGACCCATCCAGCCCACAGCCTCTGCAGTGCAGACAGGCCCTGGGGTTGGATGCTGCTCCCCTGCCAGCCTCAACGCTGGATGGCTCCAGCCTGACCCCGGGGATTAGCTGCAAGACTTTGGCCAGGACTTTGCTCGCCCTACGGCGGCGGAGCAGGGAGGTGGCCCTGGGCACAGACATGCCAGCCAGACCTGCCGCACAGGACCCCAGGGCTGGGACGGCTCTCGGGGGTATTCAGCTTGACCTCCTGCACTTAGGGGCTGGTCCTAGACTGCCACACAGGCATACCGCAGTGGGGCTGGAAGGGACCTGTGGGGGTCCCAGAAGCCGGAGACATCCCCACAGCAGAGCACGGGCATCGTTGCGCCTACCTCATCCCTGCCCAGTGTCCGTCCACCCTCTCCTCGACACCTCCACTGATGGACAGCCCCCCCTCTCCCCTGCTTTGACAGCGAAGAAGTGTTTCCTGATCTCCAACCAACACCTAATTCATTGCAACTTCAAGCCATGGGTCCAGGTCCTGCTCTCTGCGGCAAGAGAGAAGAGGTGCTTTCCCTCTTCTGTACGGCAGCCCGTCAGGGATTTGCAGACTGCTCTCATGTCCCCTCTTAAGTGCCCTGTCCGCCCGCTGAACGTGCTCAGCTCCTCCAGCCTCCCCTCGTGTGACTTGCTTTCCAAGTCCGTTATGTGTCCCCAGGTCCTGGCTGTCACTGCCCCCCGGGGAGCCCAGCTGCCCTCTCCCTCCTTTCAGACTTGCTGAATGCACCCCCGGGCCCTGCTCCCCAAGGCACAACCTGTGCCCTGGGCTACAAGCAGGCAGCTGCTGGCTCGCAGCCCCATGGAGGGGATTCACGGGCAGCAGGGAGGGCCGGGGAGCCTGGATGCTGCCCAGCCAAGGGCTGAAGGACCACACGTCCTATGCCTTACCAGGGGCAAGTTGCCTTTAGTAGGAACATGCGTGCCACAAAAACTACAGGTCCCAGAATGCAATGGTGCTTCTGGAGTCAAGGGAAGACCTCTCAGATGGGGAGCAATGCACGCTGGGACTTGTAGGCGTCACAGACCGCTGAATTAAGGGACAACAGGACAGCAGGTCATTTAACGCCCCCCCCCACAAGCTGAGCTGTGCTGGTGAGGGGGTCAGACAGGTCCCTACAGGGTGCCACAAGACAAGGGGTTAATGATTTTATCCAGCCATTTAATAAACCGAAGGACCTGGACTCTGTACCCAGCTCTGCCACTGATTCACTGTGTGACCCTGGGCAAGTCACTTCTCCGTGCCTCAGTTTCCCTGGGGTGAAATCAGAGCTAAGCTGGGGCTACGGAGGCGTAGTCCACTGATGCCTACACAGTGCAACGGGAAGTTTCGCCGTGTCCCTTACCCAGAAATCCAGGTTGTACTTGATGTTCTTGAAGAGGCCGCCCACCATGGCTGCCAGGTGGATGACGTGGGTGGGCCTGTGCTTCTCAAACAGGGCTTTAGTCTCTGCCGCATTCCTACAGAGGGGGAGAAAAGACCACACAGCAGCTCTGAGCCACGTCCGAGGGAACTTGCAGGCCCCCTCGCAAGGGCTGTCAACCGGGAAGGCGAGGTGACATGGCCAAGGTCATGCAGGGAGGCTGTGGCAGGGCTGGGATTTGAACTCAAGTCTCCCAAGTCCTTAGCTAGTGCCCTAACCACCGAGTGAGAGCTGGTCCCTTGGCCACAGGTGTCTGGGATGAGATGGGAGTGGGTCTGGCAGGTGCCCGGTCACCTTCACTGAGCATTGACCTCACAGCTGGTTGGCGAACAAGGCTGCTGGCAGCAGCTGGCCCTGGCCATGCTCTGGGAATAACACCAGCAGCAAAGGAGCCCGCTGTGTCCACCAGGCCCTAGCTGGCTGACCTAAAAGCCTCCCAAGAGAAGCAGGAAATGTTGCGTCAGGGACCAGCCATGCTGCCTGCCAGCTGGGCCCAGGTTTTATTTGCACCTCCGCGCCCAAATCCTCCCTCCCCTCCCCCCTGGTGCTGTGCAAAGGGCACGGGACACGATGGCTGCAGATCAAACTGCTCCTGGAGTTTCCTCCATGGGACGTTTGCTCTGCTCTAACGAATGGCACCCTGCTTCTTTTCAACAGCACAAGCTTTTATCCACCTGCTGCCTAGCACCGGGGCCTGATCCAAGCAAGGGGTTGTGCTGTCAGGGAAACCGAGGCCCAGAGAGGTGATGGCCAGGTGACTTGCCAGGGCCGCCGGCAGAGTCAGTGTCAGAGGCGCTTAGCATGCATGTGTTCCCGGCTTCGGCTGCAGGCAGCACAACCCGGACCCTGCTACCAGCGACGGGCCACTAACGTGACCCCAGAACAGGACCAGAGCAACTGCAGCACAGAAGAAGAACCGGTTTTCTGCCTGACAAAGATCTCTTTGTTCTGCACAGCCATCACAAAGACACAGGCAAAGGTCCTGGAGACCCACTGCATGGACTAGCCCTGCCTGGGGACTCTGGGGCTGTCTCTCCTGTTGAAAGAGCCAGGCTCTAGCAAGCACAGGGCACAACAGGACCCCTGGGTGTGCAAATACGATGCACAGGATAAACCCAGAGACTGCAAATAGGAATCTAGCGTGTTAACAGCATCCTGGTGCAGGCTGCCCGAGATCTCTGCAACAGAAGAACAGCTCTAAGTGTTGTCTAAGAAACGAGTGCTAAGAGCCGGCCGAGGGAGGACGGCTGTCAGCTTAGGGGAGGCTGAACCCACTGCTCCATGCAAAGACCAAGGGTGCCCAGACCCCCGAGCTCAGTGCTCTGCCTTTCCCTCCCACAGAGGGGCTCAAGAACCAGAAGCTCCCTGTACCCTTTGCCCCCTGGCCTGACTTCTCCTCAAACACAGCTCCCTGCGGATCAGCCCCAGCAGATCCGGACGGCCTCTCCAGCTGAGCTGAGGCGGATGCAGTGTGCTTTCCTCCCCTGGCCCCAGGCAAAGCTGACGCACGCAAGGTGGCTGCCGTGGGCTTCCCTACCCCAAGTGCCCAAGTGAATAAGGGACGCATGACATTCGCTCAAATCAGGCACAGAGACGCTCCAGCCTCTCGACCCGGGCATGCCGAGCCCCCTGCTATCCCAGTGCTGGGGCTGCTCTTCCCCCTGGCTCCGCATCTGCCTCTGGACCTGGGGTAATGACCGTGCTTCTCGCCCCTGACCCACAGCACCGAAGTGCCCATGCAGCTCTGCAGAAGCACCCTGCACCCTCCAGCTAGCAGGCCTGGGCTCTAGCACGCAGGCAGGCAGCTTTGCACAGAGATTTGGGAGAGGATGCGGATATGATACATGCACAGGTCTCTCGGGCTAGCGAGGGACCATTGCCCTGCCAGGCCGCCCCAAGCCAGGCAGCACCAGGACATTTCTAACGACCGCGGGACCCAGCAGGACGAGACCTCGCTCACGTTAAGTCGGCATCCTTGGAGGACACGAAGATCCACTGCTCATCCGGCCGGCCCTCCCCGTCCGCTACGACCTTCTCGATGGCTCGCCCCACCAGCCCGGTGCCACCCGTCACCAGGATGCGCCTCGGCTTCGCTCCGGCCAGCTCCGCCATGGCTGCAGGACCTGCGGGGTGGGAGAGGAGAGGAGAGGAGAGGAGAGGAGTGAACCAAAGCTCTCATAAGACTTGCACTGGATCGGTGCTGGAAAACAGCCCGGCCGGGTGGAGACGATGGAGTACAAGCGAGCCTGTCAGGGTTAGCAAGCCCGGCTATCCCCTTCCATGCTGGGACTAGAGCCTCATCTGTAGGCGCACAGGGGATGGGGACCAGGGAAAATGGGCTAGAGGAAGGCCTCCTTGGAGGTTTCGAAGACCCAGGTAGACAAAGCCTTGGCTGGGATGATGTAGCTGGGGCTGGTCCTGCTTGGAGCAGGGGGTTGGACTAGATGTGACCCCCTGAGGACCCTTCCACTCTCATTTTCTAGGATTTCTAAGACAAAAGGCAGCGTGGAAGGAACCCGGCTCGATTCAGACCAGCAACAGCAAGCGGTCGGATCAGACCGACCCGTGCAATGAGTTGCTGGGTCTCAGCTGAGCCATCCGCAGACCTCCCACGCAAGCGATCCACACAGGACATGGTGGAGACTGGCCCAGGTCGGAGGGGACTCCGCAGCGAGGTCTCGGCCGTTCACATACATCGCATGAATGCCCCACGTGCACATCTACGTGACACGCGTGTGCAGAGGGAAAGAACAGGAGACAGCGCTTTCCTATCTCCTCCCTTTCCCATCTTATCCCAGCTCCTCAATCCTGAGGCAGCCGGGACCCACCACCTTCTTCAACCTCTTGAATGAAACGCAAGCCTGCCACGCACAGGACCGAGAGCGGTCCGGAGCCCGCCTGCACAGACGTCCCGGTCCGAGAACCACGACCCACTCCTCCCGGATGTGCAAGTCTGTAGTTCAGGGTGTTTGCACTACTGTGCTGTCACTCGCACTTCCTGTTACAGGCAGGATGACATCACTCATCCCCGTTCAAGCCATTGGCAGGCTGCAGCAGAAGAGGGGCTGAACAGAAAGGGGCAGGTCCTTTTGTGGGGGGACACGGAGGGAGAAAACCAAGCTCAGGAGGTGACTCAAGCTACCCCAGAAGGTCCTTACAAACATCACCACCAAGGAAACAGAAACATTTTAGCTTTTAAATAGCTAAAATTCAACATTTCAGAACAACTGTGTGTATAGCACACCTGACGCGCAGCAACACACCGAGCTCTCTGCTCTCTCGCTGCGGCAAATGGACTTATCCGGGTAGGACCGCTCCTCCTGCCCCCGTCGCTGCAACGTGGCTGCGCTGCATTTAAAGGCTGTGTCAGACTATGGGTGCTTGAAAAAACCAGTGTAAATCTTCCAGCTGCCCACAGGGCTCAAAATGATCCTTGTTTTCAAAACCGGCTGCACTTTGAGCTTGCAAAAGGACGCACAGGGCACAAGCTTCTCAGGGGGATTTGATAGCAGCCTTCAAGTCCCTGCAGGGGGGCTGCAAAGAGGATGGAGCTGGGCTGTTCCCTGTGGGGGCAGACGACAGGACAAGGAGCAATGGGCCCAAACTGCAGCAAGGAAAGTTGCGCTGGAAAGCAGGAATAATTTTATCACTAGGAGGGCAGTAAAGCACTGGAACAGGCTCCCCAGAGAGGTGGTGGACTCTCCATCCTTGGAGGTGTTTAAGACCCGGGTAGACAAAGCCTTGGCTGGGATGATGTAGTCGGGGCTGGTCCTGCTCGGAGCAGGGGGTTGGACTAGATGTGACCCCCTGGGGTCCCATCAACCCTCGTTTTCTAGGATCGTAGGAGTCTGCGCTGGCACTGGCACTTAACCCTTTTGCTGGGGTTTTTCAGGTCTCATACTGGGAGTGTTTGGGCAGAGGCTATCGTGTCCCAATGCCTGACGCCAAGGAAGACGTTTTCCCAGAGTCTCCAAAAAGACGCGTGTAACGTGAGGATGTTCTTGCATTTCCCTCTGCCCCACCCTCCCCTGTATCACGGCAGGGGGAGAAAATGGGGAAACCAAGGAGCTTCCATAGGAAAGCTACAGAAAAGACAGACCATGGATCAGGCGCAGGCCCTGATGCACAAGCACGGCCCCTTCCTAGCACCCAGAAACTTTGAAGTGTTAATGGGATGCGAAAGCTCCCCTCCGCGAGGCAGACCCATGGTGCCGTGGCAGGGATCGCCATGCCAAGGTGCTCCGCTGCACGCGCCAGTGCTGCCCGCTCTCCCTCGAGCACCGGGCAGGTCTGCGGTGTCGTCTCAGCGCGGGAGCGGCTGCAGGCCACAGGGCGTTTGCTCTCTGCCATCCGTCCCTTTGCTTTGACCCGTCTGCGGCCCCACCTATCCCGGGACCTCCTGCTCAACCTCCTCCCGGCTCTGGCCGAGCGGCCCACTGACCGGCCGGGGTAGGAGGCTGTGGCCGGCGGTGAATCCGGTGACTGTGGGACCATCTTCCTGGCCGAGGCAGCGCGTCTCCCCCTAAACCCACGCAGCCCCCACAGCAAGGCTGACCCCTGCCACGACCCAGCTGAGACGGGCAGAGGGGAGCACGACTCCCATTTTAGAGGCCAGGCAGCAAGACCCAGGGGCTAAGGGACATGCCAAAGGCCACAAGGAGGGGGGGGGCAGTAGCAGGCACCCCACGTGTCCTCTCCTGGTTCAGACACCCGCCCTAGCCACGGGGTCAGCCAAGGACTGGTCTCCTGCTGCTCAGAGCAGGGGCAGGATGAGCGCCGAGACGCCTATGGCTACAGACAGACGTTACATTTATCCCGCAACACGTCATTTTCTCCCGGGAGGGCTCCGGCTCCAAGCAGAAGTGACATTGACGGCAGGACACAGCCCCGACGCGGCGCCCACACGTTGCGCACACGGCACGACCCCCTCCC